TTTCATGGTCGGTGTTGCCGTGTTGCTGCGGGTCACAACGATGCCGTGAAGAGCGAGGAGTTGTTTGGCGGCTGCAGCTTCAGTGAGCTGTTTGGCGACGAGCGGCGGCACGGGTAAGGAGTTGGTGGAGGAGATGAGCAGCTCAACAGCGCCGAGTTCGAGGTTTTTAAAGGGCTCGGCGTTGATCTGGCTGTTTGCACGTGTCGCCACCACGTAGGCATCCATGTAGGTTATGGAGCCGCGACTGATGATGCCGGACGCTGGGTACACAAGGAGTGTACGCTGTTGCTTGGCGTCCGAGTATTTGTCGTTCACGGAGGAGTCAGTGTATGGGTCTACCGTGAAGAGGCGGACAGTGGATGGGACAATTCTGGCCATGGGGAGGTAGGGGGGATCGATAAGTTTCCATTGGGTGGTGGGGACCATGCTGTAAATGACTTTAGCAGTGCTGCCGAGGTTGTCGAGGAGGTCCGCGTATGTGCGGTCGTTATCCAAGCGGATGACATTGTAGAAAGACAACTGCGAGGTGGTGTAAGGGGATGGAAGGAAGACAGATGAGTGCAATAGAATGAGATGGCGTCGACGTGTGTGATGGGAGGTGTTACGGTTTTTGTAAGGGGGAAGTGGATGTGCAGGTGGAAATATCTAGGCTGGATATCTTCCAATTAGTTTTGGTGCACATGGTATGTGCCGCCTCAATGAACGTGCGCACTGGATACAGGTATGCAACCGTGTGAGTGGCGAGCCCTCTGAAGCTCCACGAAATGAACTCGATGTAGCTGCCGTCCGTCCCATGGACTTACCGCCCGTCCAAAGTAGTTGTCGAAGCGGTTGAGGATGTCCTTGAGGCGCTCATCATCGATAAGAATGATGATGATGCGGCTGGCTGGGAGTGGCAGGTCGTTGTTGAAGCCCTTGTGCTCCCATCCAAAGATAGCCTTGTACAGTGTACCCTTTTTCAAGCGCTTCATACGATGGAGCCTGTCTGGCAGGTCCTCTGATCCCGCGGTTGCGGCGAGCACCATGTTGATATCGGGCCGCGGTGTGCTGCGTGGGTGTGTCCGTTTGGTAATGGGATGATGCGTCAAGAGGTGGTGGCACAGTTGAGGTGGTGACTCATGTGCAGGATTTGGAAGGCATGAGCCGTTGCCACATTATGCTTTTGGCAAAAGAACGACTGTGAGCAGGTTGAGTCGTGTAGATGTGCATGGTGCATTCGATGTTCTATTGCATCAAGTTGGCTTAGGGGTGGCGGTTGGACAGGCTGAGCAGCAGGAGGTGCAATCATACCTGGGCGTGTTTGGTGTGGTGGTGGTTGATGCGCCGGCGCTGCTGGCAGACAGTGGCGTGGCTGGCGGGTCATCAGCCGTGATCTCTTGGTGCTTGTTTGCCCTGGGAGTGTTTGGTAGGCGGGTTGGCGTATTGCAGGGGTGTCGTAAAGGGTGGTATGATAGGGTGTCATGGTGGCCCGAGGAATTGGTGCGTTCAGTTTCGTGGCGGTGTGACTCTGGTGGCTCTCATGGCTGGAAAGGCGTGTTTCGACGCCCGGATGGCGCGGCGTGATAGGTACAATTTGGCGTACGTATTGGATTGTAGATATAAGAAGGAGCAACTGAGTCAACCACCTAGAGACGTACCTGTCTGGCGATGGTGAATGCGTTCGTTTGTTGTTGTCGTTGTCGTCGAGGCGGTTGTGCATGTTTCTGTGGAGGGATGGATGCAGGTAAGGGAAAGGTCCGTGAGTGCAAAAGTGGTAACAGTTGGGAAGATGAATGGGGTGGCAGGCCGAAGTTGTACGTGAAGGAAGAGATGAGTTTGGAGTGGAACTGAACACCCATAGTTGTATGGCTTACACATCGTTTGTAGGATCTGGCTTGGCAGCGGAGATAGAATTTCCGTGTTCGTTTGTTTGTGCCCGGCTGCATGTAGGAATGAAGGGGGGGGCGAAAGATGTCAAGAAGGTTCGCTGTGAGGCTGGCCAAGGCTGCCATGACGTGAAGCATGATTTCTGTCGCGAACAAATGTTGCATGTGATGCTAGGAGCAGCGTTGCTTGAAGCATGCAAGGAGTGAGCGAGGCGCGGTATAGTGGGTTGCATGGCGTGGCAAGCCTGTAGGTTGCATGGCGTGGTAGCAGGATATTTTATATATATGCCTGTGGAGATGAGTAGTGGTCTCACCTTGTGTTGCCAGGATCGCGTCCTTGACTCCGTAGCGAGTAGCTCATGACCAGGTGTCTCGACCAGAAGAGCGATGGACCGAACGAAGAAAAATCCTGGACGGAATGGCAGGAAGGAATGTGTCCTGCGGCATGGGCAGATGTTATGTGCATGTTGAGATGTACGGGCATGCGTGAAGAGTGTCTTGGAATATGTACCGTCCGGTACAACAATGGTGGTAAGGGAGGCGGGGTGTGGTAAAACATTTAAACAGCATATGGTGAGAATTTTGCGGGAGGGAAAGGGGTGGGCATAGGGCTGTAACCCTACAATAAAGAACTCAGTAAATATTACGGCTCGTCCACAGCCAACGTATTTCTGCGTTTTCATATCCCGCTTGCTTGGATTCTTGATGACGTTTATAAAAATGGTACAACCTAAAGGCCTTCATCATTCACGCGGTGAAGTTTTTTTTTAATGTGAGTATGAATTAGCATAAAGTTGGGCCATATTTATTGAAAGTTGCCGGAAAAGATTTCGGTCCAGGAATTTACAAAAAATTATAGATCCGGATAAATTATAGATCCAACTGATGGGTACTCCTCTGGCAAGACAGTCAAATGCGTATGGTCCCAGGCACTCATCAAACGCTCTCTTAATGCCGTTATTATCGCTCCTTCAGGTAGAGGTATACCGTACCGCTATGGCCGATTGGTGACACCGGATTGGTGAAAATCACCAATCCAGTAGCAAAGGATAATCCGGGCTGGGATCGAGCGGCGGCTATCACCAATCCCTGTACGGCTAGACAAACTGTGCATGCGTTTAAGGGTCACTTTGCTGCGCGCGCGCGCGATGCTGTATGCGACGGCGTGCATCTAGAAACGTTTACATGCGCCTGCAGATTGGTTGATGTGGGCCTGGGGCGCCTCGGAGGGCCCACAGTGAACGGGGGGCAGTCCGGTTGGCGGCTTTCACCAATTCGGTGGCAATGGGAAAAAGTGGACGGGGTAACACCAAACCGTATCACCAATTCCGGTGTTGGAAAGATTAATTCTAGAAGCGTTTTTTACTTTCACCAATCCAGAAATCACCAATCGGCCATAGCGGTACGGTACTCAGCAACCAGTCAACACGCTCCTTTACCCCCACGACTTCTTGCGGTATTCCGCTCCAAATGTTCTGCTTCACCATGTAATATTGTAAGGGGAGTTCAGTCAGCTCCGCGTACAACAGCCTGTGGGATGGCCGTGCCGTCCCCACTACCAGCCTCATGAATAAAATCTGCAGCTGGACTGCACTATCCTTCAAACAGGCTTCGAACATGTCGTCCGCAAGGTTGACTTTATCCCGCCGCCTTCCTGCTAGTCCACGACCTCTGTCAGCGCAAAAGGGCGCCACGCCTGGCAGCCGTACAACAGAATTGCTCGGACTTGGGTTGCAAAACACCGCATTCGCATATCGGGGGCAAACAGCTTCATTTTGTCCAGCTTTGTGCTCAAGGAAAACATAACGGACCGACCTGTATCACACAACTGCTGACGGCACGCACTAAAAGGCCGTTCTGGCCCAAATACCAAGCCCAGATAGCGAGCGTTATCTTTGGCAGGTACTACCTGGCCTGATAGATGTAACTGTTGACATGTTCCCCTAAGTTCCGACTGCTGGGTGCCGTCACATGCAAAAACAAGCCCTACACACTTTGAGACATTTGGTCGCATCCCAAAAGCTTCACAAAACAAGTCCACAAGATGTAGCAACTCAGACATTCGCTCTACTGGCGTCGCTAGCAGACTAACATCGTCCGCATACAACAGTATGGACACACGCTTGGTGTCCACAAGGGGTGCGTCATACTTACATGCACCAGCTTCTACAAGGTCATGAGTATCAAACAGATCGGCTAGTGTCTCGATGAAGAGCCCAAACAACTCCGTAGATAAAGGACACCCTATTTCACTCCACGCTTAGACTCAAACTCTCCCCCCACCTTTTCATTTACCTTCATCACCATGGACACCTTCTCGTACGGTTTTCTCAGAGCACCTAGCATGGGGCCGTTAATCCCCCTTTCCTGCAACCGAAGCCACATGTGCTCGCGAGGCATCCTATCAAAGGCCTTCTCAAGGTTAATCTGTACTATTATGAACGGCGGTTGTCCCGCGATGCGATGACGCCTGACCAGGTGTTGCTTGA